AAGGCTTGAGTCCTGGGCCTGGTGCTCTTCAATATTTTTATTAATGACTTGGATGAGGGAGTGCAGGGAATGCTTATCAAATTTGCAGATAAGACCAAATTGGGTGGAATAGCTTATACCCTAGAAGACAGAAACAAAATTCAAAATGACCTTGATAGGATGGAGCCCTGGGCTGAAGCAACAGCATGAAATTCAACAGGGATAAAAAGTGCAAAGTCCTGCACCTGAGAAAAGGAAACCTATTGCACATACAAGATGGGGGATACCTGGCTCAGCAAAACAACAAGCGAGAAGGATGTTGGAATTGTTGTAAATTACGGGCTAAATATGAGCCAACCATGTGATGTTGGAACAAAAAAGACAAATGCTATATTAGGCTGCATTAAGAGAAGTATTGTTTCTGAATCCCACAAGGTGCTAGTCCCCCTCCATTCAGCACTGGTTAGGCATCACCTTGAGTATTGTGTCCATTTCTGGACACCACACTTCAAGAAGTATGCTAACAAATTGGAACAAGTTCAGAGGAGGAAGACAAGGATGATCAGGGGCCTGAAACCAAGTCCTATGAGGAAAGACTGAAATAACTGGGCATGTTTAGCCTTGAGAAAAGAAGACTGAACAAAGCTGGAACTTAATATATGTTTGGGCCCAGGGACAGATCAAAGCTTAGGGCAAAAATGATTTATGTGTTTTTTTAATGCTCTCTGGAAACTTGGGAAATTTGGGACTTAATGAGGTTGGAATCTATATTTTTTTATTATCTCATACTGTCTTTTGTTTGTAGATGGTAGATTTATATGCTCAAATAAAAAAAGCTTGGGTTAAACTACAGAATTAAAATGAAAGGAATATTAATTAAAAATTTAGCATTTCTTGAAAAAAAAGAGAAAAGAAAAGAAAAGAAAAGAAGACTAAGGAGTGATATGATAGCACTTTTCAAATATTTGAAAGGCTGTCATACAGAGGAGGGGCAAGATTTGTTCTCGCTCATCCCAGAGTTCAGGACACGCAACAATGGGCTCAAGTTACAGGGAGCCGGATTTTGGTTGAATATCACGAAAAACTTCCTAACTGTTAGAGCAGTATGACAGTGGAACCAGTTACCTCAGGGGTTGGTGAGTGCTCCAACACTGATGGCATTCAAGAAAAACTTGGATAATCACATGGCAGAGATGGTTTGATTGTATTCCTGCATTGAGCAGGGAGTTGGACCTGATGACCTTGTAGGGCCCTTCCAATTTCACTTTTCTATGATTCTATGAAAATTGCTGCTGCCAGTAAAGTGATCCCACTGGAGACAATTTCCAGTAACTGAAGACATCCTCATTTCATCTTGCAGTCCCCGCAACTTCCCAGTGTACCTGGGAGCCTTGGGAGATGCAGGAGAGAAGTTGGAAATCTGATTAAAAAAAAAAAAATGCTACTGCTGCTGATCCTATCAGCCTTCCATGGCATAAATTACAGTAACAGGATTTAAGCTTATGTTTAATAATGGTTTTTACTAGGGATGTGTACTGGCTACTGAGAAGAATTGCAAAATGAATCTTTTTCTTTTCTTTTTTGCTTTTGTTCCTCCTGATGAGGAGCAAGATGCTTCCAATTGCTCCAAGGCAAGCCAGCCACTCCAACAAATCACACGGGTCCATTTTTGCAATACAGGGTGGGGGTCCAGCACAAGGAAGAAGTCCTATAGGGAAAGGAGCTTGTCAATTGAATCATCAAAGATGCCCTAGAACAGTCCTGGTTTATCCAATGCTGAGAGCCTGGGAACCACTTCAGAGTGCTGTCACCCGGATTTGTGTATCCCCTTGCAGCTGCCTGGACAGCCATTTTGCATTGAAGCAGGGCATTGTGTGGCTTTCAAGACAGCTGTTGCATTCTGGAATGTTTTTGTTTTTTAAACATAATGAGCTTACACATTGCATTATACTATCAAGACTATGTGATGCATTAATCTTAGAACTGCAGGGCTGGAAGGGACCTTATGGATCATCAGGTCCAGTCCCTGTCAAGGGGGCACAGTGGGGAACTAAACGCCCAACCTCTGGCTCTGCAGCCAGATACCAAAACCACTGAGCTTATCCAGCAGTCAGGGCAAATATGGATAGATCATTTTTTTATATGTGTGTGTGTTCCAATTGGATAGATCACTAATACGTTAAGGACTATCTTCCACTTTTCTTTTTTATTTCTTCTTCTTTTCACCTTGTTGGTGTACCTTAAAGAAATGCCAGTGCCTGCTGCTCTTGTTATCTATTGGCAGAAGTAAGAAGAAACAAGTACTTCTCCATTTACTTGGTGCATTTTGTTACCACTGGGAAGAAGCTCCTTTCTGATGCCTTGCCTGGGCATATTTCTGGAAGTTAGTTTATAAATTGGGAGAATCAGCTACGCAGCATGTCCATCTCTAGGCTCTCTAGCAAGCACTGCTGTCGCTTTAGCATTTTGAGTGGTTTGGCAGATTATTTCTTTCCCAGGGCAGAATACTAATTTGGCATCAACTCTCCCTGGCACCTCAAAAAGTGCACAACTGTCTAAAATGTAACCATACTGATGCCTCTGTTTAACATCCACCACAATCTCTGAATTGATGGCAGTACACAGCAGTCCCCCGTCCAGGTCGCAACCCTCTCCTTTCCCCATTCATGGCTCTTGTTTTTGGCACAGGTTCAGAAACACCAAGAACAAATTGGATATTCCCTGAGTTTCTCTTCATCAAGTGGAGTTACACTGGCTACTCTCCCATTCTCTGGTGTGCGGCTGATTCTAGAGTCATTTACATATTTCAGCTATCAGGTCACTGGTTTCATCTCTGAGTCCTTGAAGAACTCTTAGGTGGAAACTATCTGGAAAGTGAATTGCCTGTTTGTAATTTGTCCGAATGTCCTTTTTAATAACCACCGAGCCATGTGGTACACTAGCCTTTCCCAAACTACTCCCCTCCAGCTGTGTTGGAAGAAGTAATCCAAAACATTTAGAGATGATCAGGTCAGAAAGGACCATTTTAGACCAAGGTTTAAATTGCCTCACTGCCATGACATTCACTGGTGCCATGAAAAAAATCAACATGGTTCAGCTTAACCCAGAGAAGAGAGCTCTTCTTAAAAACATAATGAAATAGCTGGGAGGCAGTGCGGTGAATAAATGCCTACAATTCCAAGGAATAAACCTGCATGTGCTGTTTCCAGTTGAGGGATGGAGTCATATTTTATTACCACCTATAACCTTTCTTCCAAGGAGAAATGTGTGGATGTCTTCACTTAACCACTGGCCAATACAAAAAAAGAAAAAAAGAAAAATAGAAAACAAAAGAAGCTGAAACTGGCAAAAATGCTGCTAGTCACCAGAGAGAAGGAAGGAGACAGAACCAAGCAAACAGAAGAGGTATTCATACTGCAGTATGAAAGAGAATCTCAGATAATCTACTGCACAAAAGAATTTCAAAATAGAACAAGAGTGAAAATAACAGAGGAAAAGTGTCCAACGTTTTGTGTGAATAGCAATGATATAGTATCTGCAAGGCCACCCGATTATCTCTCTTACGTGCCAATCTGCAGTTTCTGAGATAAACTGTGTAATGTGTTACTCACCCTGATTTCTGCCTCTGGAATTTCAGCCACTCTGCCTCTGACCTACTGACCCACCTACCTGGACATGATTGTGCAAGGAAGTTGGGTTGTGAACCTGCAGGTTGACCCATGTATTGGGGTTATCAGAAGGAAAAAGGTTCACAGGTGTCACATGCGCCTCGTTTTGCCATGAGAGACAAAGTCTCTTTCTCTCTCTAGATGGCTCTAAAATTTATTTCAGAACTCGTTGGTGTTGAGTGTTTTAAGAAATGTTGCTCTTTTTTTTGCCAGAAATATATGAATACTAATTCATGTAAAACTTGCCTGAGAGTGAATATCAGGTGCATAATGTCTGAATATAGAAGAAAACAACCCAAGGGGAGAAAAGTCTGTATTTTGTCTTCCATTGTTCCTATGCCCAAAATTGAAGAGCTTTTAATAGCCTGGCCACAAGATCATGTTAATCTGATTTAACATACTGTAATTGTTATAGAGGAGCGCCTGAGAGAAGGACTTTGTTTCCATAAAAGTCCCACCCTCGTGTGTCAGTAAAGGATTCCAACAATTGGTTTCCTCAGCAAGCTTCTGGAATTATGCAGCTACACAGTGTTCTGGATACTGCTGGTGTCACTAACAGAAAGAAAAAGGTGTGCAGCTGAAAACAGTGATGCTCACTAAGGGGGCATCAGGGCATATGACACCGCAGCTTTCTTCTATGTGCCTCCTCTAGGTCATAGACTATAATTCTCATCATTTCCACCAGCACAACCAATCTTTAGTGGTGGTGTGAACTATACTCAGGAGCATCTGAAGGGAACCAGGCTGGGGAAGGCTGTCATAAACTATGAAGAAGGGAGGGAAGGACAGGAAGCAATGAATGTCCATTCAAGGAGTAGCTGACTTTTGCTTCTGTATGAATTTTGGGTAACAGGCAAGAGCCCGAGAACGGGCAGTGATGAAACTATTCTCGTTCATTGGACCGGTCAGCTGACTCAAATTCCAGAACTATATAGAACTATCTTTACCATTAAAATATGGGGGTTTTAAGATAAAAGATTCAGGATCTACTGATATAATGCAGTATTAAGGGTAAGATTTACATTCCAATGGACCGAAAGCTCTTGAGACAGAAATGGTCATTATAAGCAGCAGTAGCTGTTTTATTTTTGTCCGGTACGACTCCTCATGACTCAATGTGCATGCCCAGATATATAGCTCATATGCCAGAAGCTGAATCTGGAATTCTCCCATGCCATTGCTAATCATTCTTTGGGAATACTTTAAACTAAGAGATGAATGACTCTCCACTGTTTAAAGAGGAACACAATGTGAGTGTGTGTGTGGATGGATATTGGTATGCAGTTTTTGTTCCCAGTTTCTTCCTCTGACAGCATCTCTTTAAACTCATATTAAAAAGTACCTGAAAGGTGTGTTTCAAATGGGTATGTGTAAAATTGAGTTCACTAATTCTTCTTCACTCCGGCTTCAGACATTCTTGGTGCTTTGCTAGCTGGAAAACAATACAAGAACAAGGGAAAAGCTGCATGGTTCCCAAGATTACACAAAATCAAGAGCAGGTGATAGCTTCTATTGGACCACTGAAAATATCAATCAAATAGCAAACTTTCATGGGTAAAATCCACTTCCTCAGATTAAGCATACCTCCTTCATGGATAGTGCAGAAAAGAACTGTAGATTTTTGTTTCTGCTTTTCTCAGATGTATGCTTCGGAATTTAATTCCACTCAGAATGCTAGAAATAGATTTAGGCCTCTTTCCAAATCTACATTTAGATCAAAATGTCAGTGTGCTCAGTAACTCGGATCAAGTTCAGGAATTTGGCCCAGAGATATCAGAGTATAAAGTAGCAGGAAGCTTTCTCGCGAACTACAACATATTTCTACAGTAACCCTTGGAAAAAAGAGGGGCAGCCAAAGGTTCAACCAGCCTGTACAGTGGTGTCCTCTGTTATACCCGGGCTCAGGGCTGTATGTGTTATTGTAATACCCTAAGTGACCATTCTTTTAAGATAAGAGTAGAGATACCCCCTGGGAAAATGTGAAAGTAGCTTTCTTTTGGAACCTAAGAATTCTGTGAAATTGAAATTTGCTGTATCTGGAATGTATCAACATGTGATGGAGTTTACAAATATATTGACATCAATACATTGAAATATATTCAGTTCTTCAAAAAAAAAAACCCTCTCATTTCTGAATGTGGGAATATTATACTTCTTTATCCATGATATGCAGCACCAGGGAATGGCCCTGTATTGCTGCACAGTGTCATGTCTATGTTGTCAGCAGAAAAAAAGATGCCAAACTTCACATAACAAAGGACAGCCTGAATGTTGACAACATCCATATCAGAAGTCTACAGGATACCCTTGTTACTTTCTTTAAAGTAAACACATTTTTTACTCCTTCCATAGTAGTAACTTTTGTTGACCAGTAATTTCCCCTCACCTACAATATATGATACATTATGTCATCTCTCTGGCAAGCCTGTAAAATGCATGCTCAGTTAATAACAGTCGCTGTTTCTCCCATTTGAAAGGCCTTTTTTGAGAATCAATATTTCATCCCTTGAAGCCTGAATTCTTTTTTTTAAACGATAAGCCAGACTGTTTTGTTTTTTTTAAAATTTATATGAGCTATTTTAAATCTGGCAACACTTAGGGTTGCCTATTAATGAAAGAGGTGTGAATTTTATTTTTTTTTAAAAAAATCACAACTGAAAAACTCTTTGTCCACTTTGCCTGCCACATCTATGCCAAATTTGGTACTGATCTGCAGTCCAGTTTCAAAGTTATAATTTTTTTTATTTCCCAAAGGCTTTCACGGCCGGGATCTAATACTGCACTCCCTAGCCAACTACACCAGAGCACAGAGTGCTGTCCTCTGAAGATGCTGGCCACAGAGACTGGTGAAACGTTAGGAAGAACAACCTTCAGAACATGGCCAAAGAGCCCGAAAAACCCACAACAACCATTATAATTTTTTGTTTGGGCTACCCATATTTTTAGATTTGCCTTTCAGAATGTTTATTTGCTCTGCTGCATAATACAGTCTAACCACACGCATAAGCAACAGGCTTGACAGTGCCAGAAACTCTGCTCATGAACTTGAAATACAAGTGGTTGATGAAATTCATGTACACTTGTGTATCACTATAAAAACTGTTTTCACTTTACAAGTTGGGTGCTAGTACTCTATATGTCTTTAAATGCACAACTTTCCTTGCCTCTTTTATTCTGTTCCCTCTTACTAGAGGTTGGATGTCATCATGGCTATTCTAATCATGGATGCGGCAGCTCTAAACAACAATGATGTGTTGCATCCTTCTCCTTCTTGTACATGTTTTCCCATTTATTTTACCTTGAATGATCAGCTGTTACAAATCTGTACTTTTAAATACTCATGTGAGTGAAGTGTTTGAGTTTTTGCATTTTATACATTTTATCACTAATTGGTTCTTAAGTACAGTGGTGCCCCGCTAGACGCTTACCCCGCATGACGTCGAAATCGCTTGATGATGACATTTTTGCTATCACTATTGCGATCGCAAGACAATGGTTCCAATGGGGGAAAATCTGCTTTGCGTTGATTAGGAGCCTGCTTCGTGAACCGTTTGTTCACAAAACGATGTTTTTTCCAGCTCCGCAAAATGGGTTCCCTCCGCAAAATGGCTTTCCTCCCTTCTCAAAATGGCTGCTTTCCGGTTCCGCAAAATGGTGTCCCTCAGCAAAATGGCTTCCCTCCCTTCTCAAAATGGCTGCTTTCCGGATGGAAGCTTCACATTACAGCAATTTTTATCAGCTGATTGGCGGTTCTCTATGGGCATTCTTCGCTGGATGATGAGGTATTTCCCCCATTGGAATGCATTGACTGGTTTTCAATGCATTCCAATGGGGATTTTTCCCCCCACTTGACGATGATTTCGCTTAACAGCGATTTTGCTGGAATGCATTATCGTCATCAAGCGGGGCACCACTGTACTCCTTTGCTGGTCACCTTTGCAGTCCAAGAAATTCTTATCCATCTCCTAAATGCTTTTATCTTTTTTTTAATAGTAGCTTTTCAACAGCTGTCAATGATATATAGAAACAAACAAAGCATACCGGTTTAGTTGGTGGTCAGAATTTGACATAATCATGTAGGGATATATGCATCTGAGACTGGATCCAACAAAGGGTGTGCAGGAAAAAAGATACCTGTTAGAACTTTTGTACAGATGTTGGTGCATGAATTCTTGTGCTACTGGGAGGTAGATCTCCAGCAGTTCTCATGTGTCTGCTTATGCAAGGAACCATTGAAGCTCTTGCACTATGAAATTGGGAAGTTCAGACACAAGTGATGGGCCCAGTTCAGGTATTCAATTAAAAAAATAAATAAAAAAGAGAGAGAATCCGTTGAAAACATGAGCAGGGAGAGAGTTCTAGCCTGTTCCCTTCCTCTTTGTGGCTACATATCTCTGGATGAGGCACAATTTAAAGAGGACTGCTACATGTTAAGTTTCTCCATGCAACTGGGGATTCTGAAAATCCAGAGTTCCCAACTGTGTGGAGAAGCTCCATTTGTAGCAAACATACTCCTCTTTTGACTGCCCTCCTTCATGTGGCGAAAGCAGCAAGCAGGGCTAGAACTCTCTTCCTGCTCAAGCTTTCAAAATTAATCCTCACCACTGCAGGAGTATACCGGATACCTTACAGTTGTGGACAGGCATATATTGGAACCACATATATTGCAGCATTCACACCAGAATCAAAGAACATGAGAGACACCGCAGACTAAAACAACCAGAAAAATCAGCAGTAGCTGAACATGCCCTAAAACAAGATGGATATTAAATTCTATTTCAAAATACTGAAGTACTGGACAACACCAGCAAACATTACGTTAGACTGCACAGGGAAGCCACTGAAATCCATAAACACCAACAGGACTTCAACAAAAACGAAGAAAGTCTAAAACTTAACAAGTCCTGGCTTCCAGCACTGAAAAATACAGCCTGCAAAAGGTCAATGAACTCTACCCAGCCACAAGGACCAGGGATCATTGCACAAAAAAGACCAGCTAAAGACACCAATCAATCACAGTGACAGATAATCTCTCCCCCTTATCACAACAATACATCAAACAACAAAATACAACAAAAACACGCTGATCACCATCATCACCCTATCTCCTGAAAAGGACAATACCTTTTCCCATAGCTATAAATATCCAACTATCCAACAAATAGCAACAGAGAATGGACAGAGTTCCTACTCCAGTCCTCTGAAAATGCCTCCACAGAGACTGGTGAAACGTCAGGAAGAAAACATTCAGGACACAGCCAAAGAGCCCGAAAAACCCATAACAACAATCCTTTTGTTGTCGGAAGGCCTGAATACCCTATGGATAGTGGTGGCTTCTGGACAAAGATAGGCTGCTCCTCACCCCAAAGTTTCAGTCAGTTGCAGTCATGAACTACGCCCAGTAGGGATATAGTCTTATCTTTGCCCCATTATGGTCATAAATGATGAATGCAATAATCATCTCTGTTTTCAACAAGGCAGGCAGATGCAAATAGCCTCTCTTTTTTGTTTATTTTTTTGCCAGGGAAAAGTCATTCCCTGTTTTGGAATGAATTGTACTTTTTAAAAGAACTTAGATTATTGCTTCCTACTCTTCATTACTCTACTGAACATATTTCCGTCCCGGTGAACTGGTAAGAAAGGTGAGTCTGGAGGAGAGAGTCAGTGTTCAAAATATCATGCAGTAAAGGTATTCTGGGAAAAGCATAGCTTTGGGGAAAATTATCACCTCACCCTTAAGACAACCTCACAAGGCCATCATGAAAATAAAATAGAATTCCCATGAAATACATTTTGTGATCCATCAAAGAAGATGACATACAAATTTGATAAAGAAATAAATAATTCCCAGTTCCTGGCAGCAATCCAAAAGGAGAAAAAAATGGCTGGAAAGTCTTCTTACTGTATACAGCAAGTGTACACCATCTAAGGATCAGATGTTGAGTATCAGATGTTCTCTGCAAGGAAAATAAAAATGTCAACAGAAACAGAATTGCACACAGATTAACAGCTACTTTGCTCCACATTTGAATTATGGGCTGCTTTTACAAGGGTCATAACATGACAAACTCCTTGTACTTGATGAATCTTAATGGATATGTAAATTAAGCAATTATTTTGATTTCTCCAAGGTTCATAAAAACAAATTGTGTTGAGAGAGCATCACTTTTATTTTTTTATTTCTTCTGGGAAAATATATTTTTGATGTCCTTTAGTCAACAGCAAAACAATATTCTTTTTAAAAGGAAGCCATTAAGATAACAATGATTTAGGTGCCACTTATGCATCAGACACACACACAAAAGGATCACACAAGAAGGTGACAAAAAGTGGGTGGGTCAGAGTTTGGCATCACATTTGCATATGTTGACTGATGTGTCTAACTAGACATGCATATTACCCATATATGCATATGTATTTGTTTAAATTACTGTAATGCAAACAGAGATGCAAGGCATCTCACCACACCAGAGAAGACAAAGACCTAGTGAATTGCATGTACACTTAGACTGATATCTAAGGGTGCAGTCAGGTAGTACGGAAGGCACATATCCAAACACACCAGAAATAATTGTTTTGCAGGGAGCAATCTCCTTTAAAGTGACCATTCTTCCCTCATTTAGGGAATAGCTTCTGCTTAGCATCCCAAAAGTAGCAGCCCTACAGCTGGACCAAAAAAATCCAACTTGGGCACAAACTGAAGTTGGGCTGGAACACAATTCCTCTGTGTCATGTGATCACCAGGAAATAGATTGCACTGGAATGCTTCACAAGCGACTCAAACTGTAATCTATTTCCCTCTGTGGTCACATCCTATATATTAATTCTAAATGAGCAACTTCAAAGACTATGTCTTCTCATTTTATTTTTAGATTGGACTTCATTGAGAAAACCATTCAGTAGAGCAGTGTCCTTTTTAAAACAGCTCGCATGGATATTCTAACAATCTCTACAGCAATAATTCTTAATTTCTTTTAAAAAATTCTTTGGAGGGGTAACAAACTCCTTTGACAATCTGATGAATGCTATTGATCTCTTGCCCAGAAAAATGCACATAGGTACATATGAAGAAAATTTTGTGGACAGTAATGGGATTAGAAGAATGTATTGAATATTAGCGAGTAAGAGTGCAACACTAACCAATAACATATAATGAAGAAAGGCCTATTCATTTCAAGTGTGTTAACACCGTTAACCACTCTGCTGTGGTTCAGAAGAGTTCCTTTGCCTATTTGGACTTCAGTTATTTTAGTTCCAGGGATGGTAATGCTATTATAGAAGCCCAAGTGCATCATTTTAGTGGATGTGATGGTTGCAGATTTAATGGTCTAATTTTAAACAAGTGTTCAATCTATACTTCATTGCCTTGGTGAATGTTCTGGTGATGTGAATGATCAGAGAATGTCAGGGCAATCTGTTCATGTCTACAAAAGCAGTCACCCCAAAAGATCCACTGTTTATTTTACAGTTTCCCTGTCATCCCCAGTGAGAGAAGAGTCAGGCATCAGCTTGCCCAGCAGATGTAATGTTACCTGGTTTCAGATATTGCTACCATGACCCAAATATTAAAAATTGAATAAAAGGAATTACATTCTTTTCACAGGGCTGCCTTTATCCGTATCAACCTGCCCTTATTCTGAGATCATCATCTAAGGCCGTAAATCATATGCTTGATCCTAAAAGCAATGAGGCTTGGGGACACAAAAACAAGTGCTTTTTGAGCAATGGACCTATATCTGTTGAAGACACAATCTCTTGGGTTCATCAGACTTGTTCCTTGGTAGCAGGGCTGACTCAGCCAGCAGGCACAATGAATGAATTACTTCAGGAAGAAAACATGGGTGTGGGGTGGGGGAAACAGAAGCAACTTGCTACATTTTTCCCTGTGAAGTCCATCCTTCATCCCTCTCTCAGGGCTTCTTGCACACAAGATTCCTTCCCCCATGTTGCCTGCCTTGGCCTCACTCAAATCTAGTCCCTTCCTTCCTTCTACTCTTGCATGCTTTGTGGATTGGTAGATCAGTGCTGGATAATTCCCACAGAATGGAAAGCATTCTGGTTTCATATCAGAGAACTTACAAAAACATAATAGGATTGAAACAGCTAGACAGAGAGCAATGCAATAATTAGTAGAAGACAGAGTAAATTTATCAAGAAGAAATCAAGAATAAATTCTGTCAGAATTTCCACGTTAAAAAACCTTCAAAGAGTCGTGTGGCATCTCAGTGACTAAAGAATTTTTATTTCAGATAAACTTTCACAGACTACAGCCCACTGCATCAGTGATACCTGAGAAAGTGACCTGAATTTTATGAAAGCATGTGCAAAATAATTTTTTTAAATGGTCTTTAAGATGCCATATACAAGGCTGTTTGTTATTTTACTGCAACAGAAGCTCAATTTAGGCTTCAGTCAACCCTCACTGTCATCACTTCTGTTGCTCTGGTGAAAGAAGGGCAACATATGAAAGGAGATTATTGGTGAGGACTAGAGATGGGGGCGAATATAAAAATAGATCGGTTATTTTGATGAATATAGGCGATTTGTCATATATTCGTAGATCATATTCGTCAAATTTTAAATCCTGTAGAATATGGGTCGACAAATATTTCCCAGTTTTTATTCATCCCCGCTGCAGCTCCCATCTTTGCAAAGGGCAGCCAGTTTCCCTTTCTACCGCAGTAGTGGTGACGATTATGGTAAGGGGGTGTCGACGGGGGCAGGGGCGGGAGGCTAAGGTAGGGAGAAGAAGGGGTGGCGCAAAAGTATAGCAAAGAAGCATTTTCAAGGATTGTTACAAATTACATTTAAGGCAAATAATTCTCTTTCAGTTACAATAACTCTAAAAATATCTAAAAATCTCTAAAAGCTTCCTTAAGGTAGGCAAAAGGCTTAAAGCCCCACTTCTCTTCCTTAACTCCCTACATCTTTGCCATTCCTTTTCCTACATGGGGCAGCCGGCAAAAAGGCCTTGAAAAATCTATGGTTCCATCCAAAAAGGAAAAATAGGAACAAGATGGAACACTGCACATGGCAAAAAGTTCCTTTTTCTATCTTCTTGGCTCCTCCCGTCTTCTTGGTCTTCCACGCTGTTATCCAATCACAGCGTAAAGTGATAGAAGCAGTCCCCTCCTCTTCTCACGAGAAACAGGTGTTGTTTTTCTCAGGCCTATTGTCTTCTCCACCATAACAAGTTTCTGGTCTTCTTATCTTGTATTGGCTTGTACTGGCATAAAGGAAAACATTCCCACAACCCTCTGGAAATACATTCCCATCATACCAAATCATTCATACATAAAACCTATATAGAATCCATTTTACATTCTTCACAACTACATATACAGCAATATACAATATTCCGATCCATGACAGCAGTATTTTTCTTTGTAGCACTGGACTTTCCTTTCACTTCCAGGCATGTGCACAGCTGAGTGTCCTTTCAGCTTTGGCCCAACAACTTCATTAGCTCGGAAGCTACTTATCCTTGTCCTCTGCTCTTCCTGAGTAGCATGTTGGACGCCTTCTGACCTGAGGGTCCCTTCTTCCAGCATCATATCTTTTAGCCTTTTGTTTCTGTTCATGGGG